AGGAATAGCAACATGAGATATTGATCTTTATCAATTGGAGCAATATAGTCCTTCTTTACACTGTCAAGCTACTTTTCAGAACAAAAAAAGTCTACATGTGGAACGGTCAGAACTTGATAAAAACTCACCACTACATAAGTCCTCCAACTTCAAAATTGTGCCAATTTTCTTCAGTCATTATCTTCAAACTCTGAGGATTCCTCAAGCTCATATGCGCTGCTAGAAGACAAATCAGCAGGGCACTTTGAACATGCACAACAAATATACAGACGGAAAAATCTCATCAACAATGAACTGTCCATCTTGCTTGAGTTGTGATGTGAAGTAGTTCTGGACATCAGGAATATGGCTGCTATAGAAAGAAATACGGTGGAGGTATGGGCATATTGAAAAGAGGAAATGAAAGAAGTCGATGCAATAGCAGATGGATTTGATATGTCCAAAGAGCCCAAATTCTTTCAACATCAAAGAAGAAGAACTGAATAAAGTTTTGGGCTTTCGAGAAGGTTGAAATGGAAACTGGAGGGTTTGAAGATGAGGACAATGAGTTATAAAACTATAAAAGGATGTTGTAGTTGCGGTGGGACGCTGTGTAGCCAAAGAGGTAAAATGAGATCCAAGAGTAAAAGATGTAAGAGATGGCCAAGAAGAAGAAAGAGATGTAAACACAGAATTGGATAACCTGGTCAAGTTCATTAAAGCATTAAAGCAAAATGTCTCCATAGAAGAAAATACGGCAAGACAATGAAGAGAGGAATCTTCAAGCAAATTATTAATTTCAAAATCGTTCCAGTCAAAACCAGCTTCCATGTCCCAAGTAACATCAAAGCTAATTTTCTTCAATGGAGCCAGTGGCATATTTGTAGCCATGGACTCGAACAGGTTCTTGATGGATTCGTTGTTGGAATTCAAATCCTCTTGTATGAAATAGATTGTTGATAGCTTTGGTGCAGAGAAGGAGGGAAAAAAGGCAAGCTGGTGGATATCCTGATAGGTATAATGCATTTTCTGCAAGGATTGAAAGGTGTGTATAATGCCAGTAAATTCATATTGAATGCCTGAATCTAACATGTCTGTATCATTGTAGATAACATGAAGCATCTGAAGACTTGATATTGTTGATAAAGTCTTGCACAGATTGGAAGGATTGGTGGTGCAGTGCAAAGTGAGGTAGAGCTCATGAAGAGAGCTCCAACAAGCACATGAAGAAAACAAGAGATCAAAGTATATGGAGGCATAATTGA